TATTGTAAACAAACATTCTCCTATCATTCAGCCAAACGCTTACCGGCAGTTTCCAGTAGTTGACGGCGATCTTGGGAGCCAGCTGATTTTTCCACAAAGGTAACTTTCCACTGTCAATACACTGCAAAAAACAAAAATAATTAAAAAAGTTAATAAATTAATGATAATAATAACAATGATAATAAATAATAAAAATAAATGAATAAAAAATAAACCGATTTTGTTTAAATAGACCTGAATCGCTCACGTATTACACCTTGACAGTAAATAAAATGAACTTTCAGAAGCAAGGAGACATGTTTTTGTTTTTTGCACTTGTTTTATTCACGCAATGATTTTCTGTACGTTAACGTCTCTTAACCTTAGTTTTACAAGCTGAACATAGCGTTTGCATCAGCATACCTCCAGACAGTGGGTGTAAGTTTTGACCGCTTCTTCCTCCAAATATCCAACAAATCTGTGACAGAATTTGGGGCTTATCAGGTATGCCAGGAAAAACAGGTTCACAAACACACCTAAGATGTATAAAAGCCAAGAAAAACAGGTCAGAAGGTCTTTCCTCAATAAGAAGTGCAGTTCGTGTAGCACATTTATCCTATCTTCAAGTAGGATCTGAATTTGGCGCTGTAGAGTAATGTTGTCAGGCGGTTGTTCAAGCCTAAAATAAATTCTAGTTATGCAACGATTTTATACCATGCTATAGAATTAACAAATTGACGTCAGTTGTTATGCGTCTGTCTTCTTATTGATGATAAATTGCGTCCTAACATTGTCAAAGTGGCTGTGGAACCACGAGCCGCAGGCGATTGGTTCCGCAGTAAACTTTGACAATGTTATGACGCAATTTATCATCAATAAGAGGACATACGCATAAAAAACTGACGTCAATTTGTTTTTTACAATAACAACACCCCAAAATGGTCAAATGCCGGGAATAAATGTGGGGAAAAGACGCCGTAAACTTGCCGTAAACAAAGATAAGTGAATTTTATTCAAAATGACACGAGCATTGTCAATAGCTTTTCTCGCTTTTTGATTGGCTATTTAAAAAAGTCCATAAAATCTCATTGGTTAAAANCTTGCCGTAAACAAAGAGCGAAATTTTATTCAAAATGACGCGACCATTGTCAATAGCTTTTCTCGCTTTTTGATTGGCTATTTAAAAAAGTCCATAAAATCTCATTGGTTAAAAAGTTGACAGTTTGACAGCTTAAAGTTGAACATGAAAACTTGCACAAATTAAGATTTTATCCATCTGTACTCTTATTGATGATAAAAATGAGCCAATCGGAGCGCGAGAAATTAGACAGTTGTTGTAAAAAATACAATGGCCAACACAATGAATGGGACACACGGGCGGCGCATGATGGGAAGGTTGGACGTAATACCGCCTAATATACAATGGCTTTCCTGTATTCTGATTGGCTGTATTTTCTATGGCTTGGTATAAACACACGTATGTACGTATGATCATACACTGTATCAAGACAAATATGATTTTCTCCTCGTTGTATCTAGTAAACCCGATGACAATGGTTTGAGTACTGACTACTTGGAAGGCAAACCATCTGCGACACACTAGGAAGTAAAACGAATGGCGGTGACGAAGATGAAAATGTATCATGAAATACAATGACGGGCTTAGCCTTTAAAATTTACGAAAATCGCTTTGTAACAGTAGGGCATTTCTGTTTTCAGTTTTGAGCCAAAACATAAAACACAAATGCTCACTCAATGATGATAACCGTTGTAATACCTTGAATAGAAGCTATACTATTACAGAATAAAAAAAAACCCTGCACTATGAGTGGTACTGAGTAGCTTGCGAAGAAATTGAGCCACAACATTACGTGTGAGTGAATACATGACATCATCTTTAATACCTTGGGCGAGAAGGATAGTGCCGCGGAAAATAACTCCAGGTTGCTTCATTTCCAAAGCAGTCATCAAGTGCATTCTCTCGTTTTCAGCTTCCTCTAAAAGAACAAAGAGACCTTTATTTTGATGTGATAAAACCCAACTTTGAATGGAAAGTTGGAAATAGGGACACTTGAAAGCGTCTGCTGGAAGTGCACTAACCACACAGCGCCAGCGTCCATGGTCAAGAGAGACGTTCTTTGTCAACAATAACGAGTTCATAGGCTGATCGCAGACCTGTCTTAGAGATCTAATGGATTGACGTGGTTTCGTGGCTTACCTAACAGTGTATGTATCCATCCATTGTCTCTTGTCAGCCTCCTCAATGCGTGAAAGTGTCTTGTCATGGCGCCGATCATTCCAGGGACCCCAGCTATTGTTTCCAACATGATGATTCGACTGTGGATTTATCCAAGAGTAAATGAAGTGAGAATTGAACCAGTGAGGATATCGCCCATTATATAAACTGTACACAGCCTTCGAAATGCCTTCTCCATTGAAGTGGACTCCAAAATCCCTCGCGGATTAATAACGTGATTTGGGCTAATCTGAGTTAATTTAGTACAATATGACTTTTCAAAGAATAGCACGAATTCGAAGTATTAAAGGAGATATACGTCACGGTTTGCATATCTTGGTCAATCTTCTCCATCCTCGACTATCCTTGTTCCCTTATTAAGGTTTGAAATTATCTCTTTGGTGTTTTTCTATCTTAGCAAACTATTATTTTCAGGTTCCCTCAACTTAAAGTTAATTTTGTACTTGGCCAAAATAAACCAAAATACTGCCACTGAGCTCCTTAAAGCACGGATAAAAGAGGGTGGATTTGGAGCCGCAATAATGAAGGCCGGAAATTCGAATCAGTGCGTTATTAAGAGCAGCAGAGAAATAAGAAAGCAGCTGAGAAAGACCGACTTTTATAGTTACCCTATAGGCAAAAGAATCTTGCCTAAGGCCATTTGCCAAATGCGGCGTTAAGGTCAGTTAGATCAGAGTTACAGCTGACTACACATGAACTCCTTTGTCTGACTTACTTGAGCCAGCGGTTTTCATCAAGTTCCATGAAGCGGTACAGTGAAATGACGTCAAACGTTGCTCGCAAGGCCTGTACACTTTTGTATGCAAGCTGCAAGTAAAGATAGACATCATACAGTGATGTATATGGACGTGTGGTCCCTTCAAAGCAGCGTTAAACTATACTGCTATGTACCTTGTCTACAAATTTTTCTGGCTTTTCATGGGTAACCTCAACTTTGTGCACATCCTCTTCTGACCTAAACCAAAGGAAGGAAAGAGTTTGAAAAGCATTGAAACATTAAATACAATGATGCAAGGGACCGCGCACGAAAATGCTGCTAGTATAGGAAGGATCTTTAAAAGATCTGATTAGCCAAGAATAGAAACATAACAATGAAACAAGGCTGATTACTACGTAGAAAGTTTAACGGGACGACGACATGATAGAGTGCAAAGTGAAAGCCAGGAATGGCAACCGTGCACAGCTGTTTCGACCTGGTTTGGTCTCTTCAGCACCGTGTAGCAGCAGAACAAAACAAAACAACAGGTTTGTGGCCGATTGTCCCCTAAATGCACATGGTAATGATTTCAGATGAAACCGGCTCAAAACCAAATGTTTGCGGATTGGTCAATAAGGAGATTTAAGAAACCACGTCGACTAAAAAATGAGTTAATATTTTATCTACGAACCTTGTGGTACTCTAGAGTCATTTAATTTGTTTATCACTGTCAAAGCTATCTCGAAACTGAATCTGGGACTCATCGATTAATTCGAAATAAAAATTTAAAAAATTAGCCGTCGTGGTTTACGTTCTCCAGACAACGCAGAATTTGGTCATTTCACGTTGTTGTTTTGTAGAGGACGGCAAAGAAATGTACCAGGAATTATGACGCACGTGCACAGCCGTTGTTCTCCTCATTAAACCGTTTGTTTAGCGACGTTGCCGTTGCTGTTTCTGTCGTGGTTTTCTTAAGCTCCCTAATTGTCATATGCAAAACGCGTGACCCGGAACCATTGGCAAAAAACTGTCCCGCAGAAAATACATGGCCAAACTATGTTAAAAGTGAGCAGCATTGCGCTTCCGAGTGATACTTTTTTCGACTTTCTTGAGTAGCTGAGATGGACTAAAGGGGAGAGACAGGGAGATACTTGTAAGTGGTGTATATCAATCGGTTATTTTAAAACCTACCAGACTGGGTGTGGCATTCTATACTCTTCATTTCCTGTTGTATTTCCGTCTTTTCCAAAATGATCGATGACAATTTCCTTGAATTGAGTGGTAACCTGTGGCGTTGACTGCTCGTCAGCTGGTTCTCTTTTAATGGCGTTCGTTGACAACAGGGAAATCTGTCGGAGTTGACAGTAATCATTTGGGTCAGAAACTATTTCAACTGCTTTTTGGCTGTCCATGTGAGCGCTCGAGATAAAATATGAGTGCATGATCTACTATGAAAAAGTTATTTCTTAGGACTATGTGGGACAGGAACGACTTTTTGAAAAAAAAAATATTGTCTTAGCATCATTAGCGTGCTTTGGTTAGAAAATCATTTGCTTAATTGCAATGTCCTTGGTAACTCATAAAGTGTTTTCGTTACCACCTACCTTTCGATACCTACAGCTGCTCAGCTTTGCCGCCCTCCCTCGCGACTTCCGTGGTAGCTGTCATTTCATTTTGTATATGTTCAACTTTTTTCTCGTGTTTCGCCTCACGTACGATAAAACAATACTTTCATTAGGTTTGCTATCTTCCAATCTTATAGTCGGTAATAGCAGTTTTAAATTTTTTGTTTCCCTTTCTTCGCCGCCGCAGTTATTTTTAGACACTTCAAGGAAGTGAATCTCGACAAGTCCTTGGGCGCTTTCCATTCAACCAAAAATTCCGAAATTTTCGAAAATTAGGGAATACCTCGCGAGATTGTCCTCTTTCTTCGGAAAGTATGTAAATTTGCAACTTTCTATTCAGTGCTAGATCTTTTGGCCGCGATCACCACGATCATCCCAGACAAAGATGGCGGCGACGTGTATTCAAAAATGGATTAATATTTTACTTGCCACTTATCTGTCGAGAAATACTAGCTGAAATTCGTCAAAAAAGCGTTTTTAAATACCAATAAAGCCCCCGTGGTGTACTTGTTTGTTTTGCATAGGTTGGAAAGAAATGTACAAAGACTTATAACGCGTGCAGAGCCATTGTGCCACTCATTAAACCCTTCTGCGACGTTTTCGTTGCCGTTGTGGTTTGTATAAGGTCCCTGCCGTCATGGGCTTTAAAAAGTCACCATGTCGACATATCAGTGCTCTTTATGATTCTATATTTGCGATTTAACCCTCGAAGTCATTGAAAAATTCTAAGCGAACGAAAGTGTGAGTTATCGCCTTCCACTCTGGTACAGTCAACCGGAAAATTCTACACCATTCGCCCATGAAAATTTCCGGAAATTCACACCAGAATTTTTGGTCGAATGGAAAGCGCCCCCTTTTTCCCCAACAGACCGAGCAAGGTTTACAAATGCGACGAAATTACGAGTAAAATGTAAGGTCTCTCCCATACTACGCCGGAGGAATTTGAAAACGGATGTTTCACTCAGAAAACTAGACTTTCTATAAAAGCAAAGGTCGACTTGTGGCAAGTCTATCTGAAAACGCTTCAAATGTTTCCGTCCACACTACGCCGGAAGAATTTTACAACGCAACAATCACCGGTTACTTTGAATTTGTGTTTTGAAGAAAACTCAGTCATGGGAATCACATGATTATCATTGCGCCATCGGTTTCGAAAAGCTCCGTTTTCAAAATGTTTTCCGTCCACACGAAAACGAAATCCGGCGTTTTGTAATTCCTCCGGTTTGAAGAACGCTTTTGAAAAAGCTCGTTTTCGTGACGGTTTTGTGTGGACGGAAGGCCTAAAATAAAGCTTCGTTTTCAAATTCCTCCGGCGTACTGTGGACGCCATCTGAAATACCATAAAGTACATTATTTATTATAAACGTTCGTGTGGAAAATTCTCACCAAAGACGTACAAGGGTACACTTGTTTAGAAACACCGGCACTAAGAATATATTTAATTCACCATTCCGTAGTTTTATATGACATTGTATCAAGAAGTAAAAAGTTCAAGAAATTTAAGCATTTTCATTTCGTTTTATGACATCTTACTGTTTTCAGTAGGATTTAATTCACGCCTTGTTTTTAAAATTATCTTGCATAATAATGTTCGAGGTAAATAATATTTTACTCACCGCTGTCCGCTGCGGAAGAAGAATTCCCCTTAATTTGAAAGAATCGCTCTCAGCCAATGTGACATTAATGTGTTTCACAAAAGAAGAGCAATTTATAATCCCTCTTATTGAAACAGATATTCTCCGAAGTCCAATTGTGGCCATTTCTTTTCTCACCTTGCGACGCTCAAAATTTTCAGCGCGAGAAACCGAATACTGCTTCAAAAGCTGCGAGGTTATAATATTTTGTTCGAGGCTAACGCAATTTATAATCGCGATTGCAGCACTTCAGTGACGTAGAACTGACAAATAACATCCGGTTTTGTCTTCCAAGAATTCTGTTGAATAATTAATCACAATTATTTGTCTGATATGCTGAGTCATGCTCGGATCAAAGTTTCAAGATTTCACTGTTTCTTATAATTAGCCTTTTGGATATGTTGATTCTCATGACTACAACTATTGGAGGCCAAAATACAATTCAAAAAATAAAGCAATTCAGTTGCACGCTAAAGCATATCTTTTCAGTTCCAAACTGATCATGCTGATATTGCTAGCAAATTGAAAGTGCTAACTTTTTGGGCAGCATAAGATGAAAGATGCTGAAAGGACCTAAAAGCATTATCCTACAGATATTTGGCGAGTTTAAAATTCTTTCCTTTAGGCGATTGTTCGGCCAAGCTGAACAGCGCTAATTATAAGTAAAACAAAAGCCGATACACGTACTCATATGCATGTAGTCAAAATTTTGCTCGTAGATTCTTCTACATTTCCTTCGTTTTTTCTTGTAAAACGAGGAAGTTAGCATTTTTGACGTAAACATCAGATCATCGAAGATCATCATTTCCTTTCCAGCGGTACCGGAATATTGACTCCATAAATAAAAGGGAAAAAAAAAGCTCCTCTGTACAAAAAGCCATGACTTTTTTCCCTTTCGCTTCAGCAAAACCGACACAATTCAATTTTAACGCCTATAATTCGGAGCAATTTCAGATGTCTGAAGCACTTTTCCCGGGCTTTTGGTTGAAATCACTAGGAGATTTCGTTACTTCCGGTAAATATGCCGTCATTTGCGGAGGCATGGATCCAAGAAGGATTTGGACGCCATATTTATTGGTATGTCTCCGTGATGTGGGTTCAACGGCTGTTTGAGTTTGTAAAGTGTAAGTTAATAAGATTATGGTCATATTGCTGAAAAATCTAGCTGCTAATAATGTCATTTAGTTTTTACTTAATCCCTCCCCCTCCAAACAAAAAAAAGACAAAACAAAACTCGAACCCACCAACGCCATGTGATCAGCATTAAACCCAGGATTTTTTTCCGTCTCACGAGAAATGTTATACTATTATTGACTTAAGCTTAATTACTTTCCAACATCCTTGTTTCTTGGTATTTTATTTTTAGGATTTCTTGCTTATCCGGTCTCGCCCACCCTTAAATATTTGTCTAAGTACAACTCTAAATTATCTCTACGTTCAGTTTTCGAATGTCACATTTTATTCAGATTTATTTTACTCATTTATTTGGTAATGTAATACCAAGATGGTTACATCAAGTACCTTTAAGGTAATAAACATAATTTATATGAAAAACCATACATACAGCAGGAAAAAATACATGAGGAAATAAGCACTGTACATATGGGTTATTGACAAAGTGTGAGGTCAAGATGGCTGGATTATTCGCCAAGACAGTTCATTTTTTGCATGTTTTTAGACTGGGACAGAGTTGAGGTCCACAAACACCATCTTGACCGAACAACTAGCAGGACACAGCGGGTAATCCTGAGCGGGCAAGATAGCGCCATCTTGCCCGCTCGGGTAGCCAATCACAGTGCAGGATGTGGTTCATCTTGCTCACTCATGGAGCTAGCCATATAATAATTAAGCTTATGTCATTCTACTGCCTACCATTTTGGGTTAAAGACACAAGTCTTGTAGACACGGGTGTTGTACAACTAGTTGATACTTGAAACAAGAATGTATTCCAATAACCCTCTCTGATGATTTGGAAATCTTTAATTTGTCTTCCAGATAAAGAAGTACAGCTGTTTAAAAGGCTCATCAACTGTAAATGCAGGTATGATTTTCTCAAGGAACATTCTACTTAAATATTTACAATAGTGCATTAGAAATTTATTTTATTATTTGGTAATTAATGTTATATGCCAGCAATTTCTTACAATCGTTGGATGCAGATTACAAAAATGCTGGCTGTGTCAACTTTCTAATGATAAGTGGGCCCTCTATCTAGAAATCATTTGAAAGTTAAATTGGCATGCATGAAAACCAAAGCTAATTATTATGTGCCAAATGCATAGACTCAAGGATTTTTTCTAGCATAATTAACATAATTATCATTTGTACAGTGGATAAACTTGTGTATCATTTTAAGGGACTTATTCAGCACTGTGATCTCACAAACAAATACCAGGCAGGCATGTTAATAACCAGTAGATATTTTATGCCACTTTACCTGCAGAAATTATTCAGCAAACACACCATTTGAAGTAATCACGGAACTATGCTACAAAGTTTCTCCACCGGGTCACGTACCTTCTCACATCAAACAGCCACCTTATGCTAAAAGTGGTGTACCCCCAGTTGTACCTAGATCCATAGAGATAAAAACAGAGGAGCAAATTGCTGCAATGAGAACAGCATGTAGAACAGCAAGAAAAGTCCTCAATGTTGCCAGAGATAATGTCAAGGTGAGACTTGAGTTTACGACAGTCAAAATGGTTCCCCAGGAGGAGAACTTTGATATAAAAAGGATGGGGGTGCTCATTGTACCTTTTGGGGATTGAAAAAAAAAAAGGTTTTGGTACCTCCTAGGGGTGTTCAGCCGCAAAAGGTCCATAGTGGGAGCTTTTGTGGTGTCTTTTAGAATATTGAGCTGAAAAAAATATATGACAAGACATAATGTAGTGTTTTAGGATTGGTACCTCTTGGGGGTAAAAAAAATTTCAGGTTTGCCCACAAAACAGGATCTTGATACCTCTCTTGCAAAATTTTGCGATGAGCACCCGTGTTGTTTTTATATGGAAGTCTTTCCCCCACCTGGGAATGGTTCAAGCAATGTGGTTAAGTCTCATGCAAACTTAGATGTAAGATTGAAGAAAATATTATAGTCATGAGAGAAATCAGTGGAACTTTTCCCTAAGTTCTGACTCTCATATTTAGTCGTTTATGAACCAATGAAAGAATAAGCCCAGATCACTATGGCCATTGATAAGTGAACGGTAGTTGTTCATTAAGTAGATTCCAAGGAAGATGATGACCAGTAAACCTGTCATGACAACTGTTTTTTGAGTGCCTTTAACTCACCCAAGTCTTCGAATTTTAATTTATAATTTTAATTAATAATAATAATAATAATAGTAATAATAATCAAATATATTCATTTGAGTCCTCTAAGCCATTTCTGTTTTTCTATCAAGGAAGGAGTGACAACAGAAGATATTGACAAAGCTGTGCACCAGGCAGCCATTTCACTTGGAGCTTATCCATCTCCACTGAACTACAAAAAATTTCCTAAGTCTGTTTGTACATCTGTTAATAATGTGGCTGTTCATGGAATACCTGATAGGTAGTGTTAACAGTGATGCTCTTAAATTGAAGGCTTTTCAATTTGGTTAGTGTAAAACACAGACAGCGGACTGCAGAGTATAGACTGGGAGTAAAATGCAGACTGAGGGTAAAATGCAGACTGCAGACTAGGGGTAAAATGTAGACTGCAGACTACAGACTTTTAAGTTTAAATCATGTTATTTCCATTATCTAGTGCCAACTGTATACAATGTTATTCAGGCTAATTGGAGTGAAAGTCTGTCACTGTGGTCTGGTTAGCCTAAATATCACTCAGGTTAGCCTGAATAACGCTCCAGTAGGCCTGTTTACAGTTAGCTCTCAATGAGGGAAATGGTAACGTGATTCAGTTAAAACATCTGCAGTATGCATTTTACCCTTAATCTACATTTAAGCCCCGGTCTGCAGTTTACAGCTTCAGTCTGCAGTCCGCAGTCTGCATTTTACACTGACCGGTTTTCAATTGTGTGTTGTAAAACCAACACCAAAATAATTGGTTTGGCCAATCACAAAAGAAAAAGCAATTATGTGTAGCAGGTGCAAAACATTGGAAAATGTGTGCTAGTTAATTAGTCATAACTGGTTGTAGTTTTACTTCTGATTGGATGCACAAAGTCGTGTAAACTTTTTAGGCTAATTGCTTGAAGCTTTCAACACTCAAGTGAAAACCAGTCCTAATAGTTAACATGTTTTTGATAGAGTTGAGTTCATCATATCATATCATTATCATCTTTGGAAGAATTGCCTCTGACCATACCTCTTAATCTCCTCAACTCTCAGTAAATCAGATCAGTGGCCAATCAAGGTGGTTAATACAGTTGAACCTCTCCACTATGGCCACCTTGAGGAGAGTGGAAAGTGACCACGGTACAGAGGGGCTGTTAGTGGAGGTTTGACTGTATATTAAGCAGATTTAAGGGGAGGACTGAGGCAGGGGTTTCATTAAGGACCCACCAGCAGGCAAACTGACTGGCTGTGAAGACGATTTTGCCTGGCTGATTTGGATATCTTGCAGAAAGTTTTCCTTTTTATTAGAATTTCACTTCGAATAGTTTTACCTGCCTGTGAAAATCAGTTGTTCTTCCCTGGCTGAGGGGAGTCTGCCTTTCACCCTCTTTCATAAGGGGCATTTCAAATCTCAGAGGAGCTTTTGTTTTTAAAGTTGCCCCAGATGCCTGTTTCTGAATTTTCTGGATCCATCATCAGTCAACTGATCCTTGATTGTTCACAGATTTGTTGCTAAGTTTTAGCCTAATTCATATATAGTCATCAAAGTTGAAAAACTGTGTGTGAGAAAAAGAGACCAATTGAAAAAATATATATTTCTGGTAAAGTGTAATTAAATTGATGCCTCTATGTCCAGGAGATATATTTTACATTTCTTCATATTAACCAGTTAATATGTTGATTCTATATAATATTCTACAGAAAAATGTCCCCTATGGGAATGATTTTAATGTTGTCATGTGACTGTACTTTGTATTTTACCATTGCAGTAGGTCTTTAAAGAATGGTGACATCATTAGTGTGGATGTTTCAGTAAGTGTAAATGAAGTAAATAACAAGTGTTGGTTGTGAAATTAGCAGAAAGAGCACAATAATTAAAGATTGGGTGCCTTTTTTATTTCAATCCCACTAAGTAGTCTTTTTGTCTTCATGTTTTACCTGTTCGATGAGATCCACCATTATTTTTGTTAGTTAAGGTAGGGATTTGTAGCATTTATCTCTTTCTTAGTTTGTGTATGTACAGGCTCATGATTATTTATTTTGATAAAATATTAAGAGTTGTGTTAAGTGGGATCCTGTAGTGACAGTCATGACACATTTGTTGTTCTTATCATGATGACGACCGGAATATGCATCATTAAACTAGCCACTCATTTGGGAGGAGCAGCATTTTTTTATTGTCCGGGTCATTTTCCCAGGTGGGCAGGGGGGGGGGGNGAGGGGGGTGCTCATTGTACCTTTTAGGGGTTTTGGTGCCTCTGAGGGTGTTCAGCCTCAAAAGGTCCACAGGGGAGCTTTTGTGGTGCCTTTGGGTATTGAGCAAAACACAAATATGGCAAGAAATATTTCATGATCAAGTGATTTAGAATTTTTCCTCATTTACACTGGGAATTGACAATTCATCAACAAAACGGTGTGTACATGTATTCAGTTAACATGTTGTTTTTGAATTGGTGTGGGGGAAAATTGAGCCACACCCACAAAACAGGATCTTGGTACCTCTTAAGGATTCTTTCTGAAATTTCTAACAAGCACCCCCATCCTTTTTATAATGGGAGTCCCACTCTCCTCAAGGTCATTTTCTGCTACAGATGCTGGACATATGTTCTTTGTGCTTTAGATTATAGTCAAGAAGGCTTTATTTAAATATATTTAACTGAATGGTGGAACATTTCTTAGGTATACATAGGAGGCATGCATGGAGACTTGTGCGAGACCTTCTTGGTGGGTGTTGTTGATGAACAGGGACAAAGATTACTAGAAAGCAGTCAACGTTGTCTTGATGCTGCTGTTAATATCTGTAAACCTGGCGTACGATTTTCTTGGATTGGTAACACAATTGAGTGAGTAATATATCTTTGGCATTTGGAGTAAGTTTGTAAATTAAACCATGAAATATTATCATAGTCAACAGGAAATAACACACTGTCTTCAGATAGTAACCTCTTACTAACCAAGTGTCAGTGGTGTACTGCTGAGAGTATTGGCCTGAGGTGGTTGCAACTTATGGACCGAGTGCAGCGAGGTTCGTACAAAAACGATCAAGGACCAATATTCTCTAGTACGGCTAGAGCAAGCTAGGTTTGTAAGAAGTTTATTATATGGCACTTAGGCCCCAAAATACATGCCTCATGACTGTTTCCATGGAAATCAACGGTATACCAAAATCCTGACCAAGAAAGAACCAATTAGAATGTTTGGATTTATCTCAAGGCTACCTTGCCATGTGATAATGCAAGATTAAAATCCCATGGTTGGTTTTTTGTACTTTGTTTGTTTGTAGGTTCATGGCCAGGAAGGATGGATTCACAGTATGCCCCAATTTAGCAGGTCATGGCATTGGATCAATGTTTCATGGCCCCCCAGAAATTTTACATACAGGTGCATTCTTTATCTGAGATCTGAGTCAGACTCTGATTACCTGGCACACCTATATCGATTTAAATAGCAACCAAGTGTTTAAAATTTCTCTTTCTCTTACTGAGCAAAAGAGACAACATTGTGGGCATAATGTGAAACAAAATCACACAAAACATGTTTATTTCTTGTCTTTTAATCCATTGAAGGTGAAGGTGAACCCGAAATAGTTTAAACTAGTTTAAACTAGTTTACTTTAAGTTTATAATGAGTTCAGGGTTGCGAACTTGGTTGGGAGCGAAACAAGTAACATTCAAATACCTGTAAGGTATTTCACAGGTTTTTACCTGGGTATCAACTGCAAAGTGTTCATCAGTAAATGACTAATGTTTTCGTAGAAGTACATGTTCTTTATTTTGTGAGGAATGCTGCTGTGTCACAAACAATACCCTTAGTCAGCCATGCAACAATAATATTATTACAAAGATAAAAGGTTGTACAACTCTTTTGTGCTCAGTTACCTCAATTTTGACATCTTATTCTCTCATTTGTGTGTAGCAAACTCTAAGGCTGGAAAAATGGCTTCTGGGATGACATTTACCATAGGTAAATATTTTGCTTACTTTACACTACAATTCCATGATTGACTAAATGTCCAGGTGTTTAAATTGTAGTTATTATCTGATATTTTTCCAACATCTTGAAACCCCTACTGGTACATTGCTTACCTAAAGATGTAACTTATTATAAGTGAAGTTGTATTCTCTGGTCAACGACGGAAACATCAGTTGACACTTGACTCCATCTGAGTAAGTGACTTTCTAAGGGAGGTGCGGTGGCCTCGTGGTGAGTGCACCCATCTTCAGGTCGAGCGGTCCGGGTTCAAGCCCTGGCCAGGGACACTGTGAACTGCGTTCTTGGGCGAAATACTATACTCTCAGAGTGCCTCTCTCCACCAAGGTGTACAAATTGGTACAAGCAATTTTAATGCTGGGGGTAACCCTGTGATGGACCAGCATCCCACTAGGGGGGTGGGGGGGGGGGGGGGAGAAAGAAATATAGGTTAAAAACCGTGCTTAAATCGGAGCCTGAAACCGCCTTCTAACCTCATTGGTTATATTTAATGATACCCACTATACCTGGTACTATGCAACCCCAACGGATTACCAAGCGGGCAGCATGCCTCGACATAAAGGACATTATATTT